CTGCGATTGTGAAGTTACATGTTGTAGCACGCAGGTTAAACCCCAATGATCGCGTGCTGCGTGCGTTGTCATTTTACATGTTTGTTAAGCACGCATTGTGTACCCCAAGTCGCGTCAGGCTAGCGTGCGTTGTGAAGTTTACATGGGTTTGTAGACGCATGGTTAACCCAATGTTCGCGTGGCTGCGCTGGCGTGGGTGAAGTTTACATGTTTGTAACGCACGCATGTAACCCCAATTGTCGCAGCTAGGCTGGCGTGCGTTGTGCAAGTTTTACATGTTTGGTACGACGCATGTTAACCCCAATGTCGCGTGGCTGCGCTGCGTTGTGAAGTTTTTTACATGTTTGTAGCACGCATGTTACGCACACACCGTGCCATTCCCACTCCTCGCTCCTGGGAGATTATTCCCGAAACCGAGTGAATTACACCGCCTACACACAGCGAGGTAAAATAAAATACTGACGATTGTTATTACAGTATTTTATCAGCCCCACAGCTTCTACCCAGCACACGATTGGTAGAGGCTAGCACTAGCACTGCTGCTAGCCATCGTTCTCAGTCTAGCATGGAGGGTCTCAGCCGCTGACGACGCCGCAACGTCTCCCGCAGTTTAGGAGGATCTGGCGATCGGAGGAGCATCGGCGCTTTCCTAGGTGCGAGAGTTTCGCGAAGCGCGCTGCCGCATCCGCGCAATGCGATGAGTGTGCAGCACCGCGACGAGCAACCAAGCGTGGCACAAGTCTGCCTAGGCCTAGTAGTCGTGAGATAGTGCGGGGCCTAAAGGAGGCATTCAACAGTAAGCGTCCGCCGCAAATTGCTTCACCGTTGGCCACTATATTGTCTCGCTAGAAAATAGCTTTTTTAGGCATGTTCTTTTTCGCAGCAAAATTCGCACTAGAGTGCCAAATAATTTGCCATTCATGCCTTCATGAAAAACTGGTCGCTATAACGTGTATCCTGCGGGAAGAGTTCAACAGAACGGCTGCGACACACTGTGCTTATCCTCGCTCTTGCTGTTACAAGCAAACCTGTATACTAGTGGACCTTATAAAAACGAACGCTCTATTTGTAAAAGAATTCTTTTAAGTTGCTTATGTACGAAGATGTAATAGCAGTAGTATTTTAGCTGTATAGTACGTATAGCAGCATAGCATGATTCCGCCCCATCATCTCTGGAGCGTCAATTCAGACTGTATTGCGATATTTTGAGTCGAAGCATATTCTTAGATGATACGTGACATTTCTGCCGTGTCCCTCTTACTCAATCTCTCCAGTGGCATGCACTCATTTTTCGGGGGGGAATGCTTCTAAAGCAGAAGTCAATTCAGGTTTACTTTTTTATGCAACGATTGAACCCCCCAGACTATCAAGGAATACTGCGACGCAAACTTAAATGACATCACATTGTGCTGTAACTCCGAACTAACGAAAACACGGAAACAAACGCGATACACTATAGGTATATTGATGTAATAGGCTAATTCAGTTATAAAACAATAGAAATTTTGTTAATATAATTTGCTATTATGTCATGTAGATTTGTGTTATAATCATTATATCATCTATTTTGATTGGGTTCTAGCAACTGGAGGCTATTAGGACCATTCAAATTTAAAAATCCTTTTGATAGGGGGGGTGGGAGCCAAAACGCATAGGGGGGCGTACAAGCAACTTTTGACCATCGGACTAGGGGGGGTACCATGATAAACTGTTGACCATCATGATAGGGTGTGTAGCGTTGCAACTTTGACCATATTATATTAAAGTATACATGCCCAAAACTTACCGATTCACGCAGTAGCACTATCCGGATTTCAAAAGACTTCCACCCGCCTACTTGATTTTAATGTCAATCATACAGCATTGAAAATCGGTAAATTATGTCTGGAAATATATATATATATGTGTGTGTGTGTGTGATGCTATAGGTTATTCACCATGCCGTAGCCATTAGCCCACACAATTTGAAAAACACAATGTTAATACATGCTGATAACAGTTGTGTTTATTCTTTACTATTTATAGCCGGCAGCGCATATTTTAGATTTCACAGGTGGGGTAACCATAATCTCTCTCTCCCTTCCTCCTTCCTCTCTCCCTCCCTCTTCTTTCTCTCTCCCTCCCCCGCTCTCTCGCGCTCTCCCTTCCCTTGCTCCTTCTTGTCACCCGCCCTCCCCGTTCTCTCTCCTCTCCCTCTCCCGTCCCAGTGACACCGGGCGTCGTTACCCTCCCCTCCCCTAACCTCGCCCATCTCTCCCTCTCCCTCCCCCGTCTTCTTCCTTCTTCCTCCTCCCTCTCCCTTTCGTTGTTTTGTCTCTTCCCTCTCCCTTCCCGTCCTCTCCCCTCTCCCTCCCTACCCTGGCGGTCGCCCGAGATCTCTCCCTCTCCCTCTCCCGTCTCTCCCTCTACCGTCTCTCCCTCTCCCTCCCCCGTCTCTCCCTCTCCCTCTCTCTCCGCCTCTCTCTCTCTCCCTCTCCCTCTCCCCCCCCCCCCCCTCTCCCTCTCCTCTCTCTCTCTCTCTCTCTCTCTCTCTCTCTCTCTCTCTCTCTCTCTCTCTCTCTCTCTCTCTCTCTCTCTCTCTCTCTCTTCAATAACAAAAAATAGGGCACTACGAGTGACCGGCATATTAAAAGCAAACTGGAAGATTCAATATTAAAGAACACATGACTAGAACATGAAACTTACAATATTATTAAGAATAGTAAGTAGCTCCATCCCCCCCCCCTCTCTCTCTCTCTCTCTCTCTCTCTATACTATATATATATATATATATATTATATATATATATATATATCGCCGCTCTCTCGCTCTCTCTCTCTCTCTCTCCCCCATCCACTCTCTGCCTTGTCTCTCCCCTCCCTCCCTCCGCTTCAGGATCCTTCAGTTCAAATTAAGTCTCTGATCTGTAGTTCATTTTAGGAGATCAAGTACAGCCGCCCCAGAGCGAGCGGTTTAGGTTACAGAAACCTGGGTACCATACTCTGCTATTTTAATCGTACTATTAAAGTGCTGCCTTTCTGGCTTCTGTTAACCTGACTCGGGTCGTATAGCACCGCGATAACTCAAGACCTGATTTGTACTCATACCGCCCAGAGTCAGTATAGCCATATTTATATGCGACCATTGTATCATATGTGTTTTATACTGAATTACAATTTTCATCATTTGCAATGTTTTATCCCTATGAACCACTTGTATAACTCAACTGACATGACGTGCGTGCGATAAAAGTGAACAATTGCCCCATATATAAACTGGAAACATGTTTTGACATTTGACACATGTCCCTAAATAAATCTGTTGCTCCAGTATGCTGTGGGATGATCAGAAGTAGCATCAAATGCCTAACAATTAGCTTGAGTAGGCGTATGTATTTAACTTCAATCATCAGGATAGGGGGTCGGGTGACTTGCTAATCTACATTCCTCTGTAGGGCGGGGGGGTTTATAACTTGTCATGGCATTTCTTCAGTCTTGCCTCACCCCCCTATCAAGATAAATAATGAATGGTCCCTTAGCTGGTCAGATTAACTGCAATCTCAATACGCTCGTTACAATGCCAGGGATATTTCCCAAGTCCCGATGTGGCGGGTATAACGAGGTTTTACTGATAATATGGAGTAATGTTCAGCAGGGGCTAGATAACATGAATTTAGTGAAGACATGGTCATTGATTGGTTTTTATTATAATTAAACACTATAATTATTAATTACATTCACACTTCAGTGCCTCCAGTTGCCAAATAAAATATGTTTGTCTATTTTGCCAGTTTATATGTAATAAATACTGAACCGAGCCTCACTATAATTAAGTAACAAATCGTTCTATTAATTATTCTAACTTACCTAATTTTTCTTATATTTATAAGATCAATATATACTATTATATATATAATGTATTACATATATATATAGATTAAAGATATATATATATTATATATAATATATATATATATATATATATATATATACACATATATCCACCTATATGCGCATGACAGCATCATCTCGCTCTATTTCTAATACATTTAAGATACGTGTAAATGACCCAAGTGACTCGTTTCGGATTAGTGCAAAGTAACTATCCCTGGAACTCAATAATAGTAATCATGATTGGTCTCAACCCATCATTGAATTTTCAAGGTAGGGCTACACGTAATATGGTCAATAACTTGGCTACCAATAAATAATACAGTAATATAGGAAAAATTTTCTCTGCGTAACACGTTTCATCGAGCCAGAAACATGGTTTCCCGTGATAATTGGGGCCAAAGCATGTAAAAGGCATCTAAGGGCCTCATGCTTAGGGCGTTTATAGAGCTTATAGAGTAAATAGCCAATGTGGCCGAACCGTACTGTCCAGGACGTAAAAAAGAGGAAGGCCGAAGATAATATGGATATATATAATATCTAAACTAGAATTTGCGATAACCAATCGGGTGTGTAACAACTGTACTAACGCTAACCTATGCGTTCTTACTCACCCTACAATCGCACAAGATTACTAACCTTGTAAGGTACTAACCAGTTTTATCATTAAAAAAATCCCTTGAGTAATCCCGTTGTTTTAACTTCGTCTTATAACATTTCGAAGTACCAGGGAAAACATCAATAAAGTTGCCCGCGTGTATACTTGGGCCTATACAACGCGCATTTCTCTCGCAATGGCGTGATACTTAATAAATAGTAGCGGTTGAAAGTAAAATAGATTTCGCCAAATTGAGCCGGAAGCGAACGTAGGTCATGAGCCCGCCATTTAAACTTGCGTCGCTGCGAGTTGAACGGCGTGTGCGCTGCGATCGCATCGGGTTTATGTCCATGCTGCCCTAAGCATTTCTGAAGGAGACTCGTAGAGCTACTGAAAACAAGAAAACAAGTTGAAGTCCGTCCACGTGAACATCCGCCGTTGTCATAACTACAGCGCAGCGACGGCTCAATTGCGCAGTGCCAGGAAGTCAGAGCCTTGTGTGTGGGGGGAGGGGGGTAACCCGAAAAGCGTCGCAAATCCTTTAAAGCGCCATAGATGACCCATTGATGTATGCAATTTTAAGCGGGAATGCTACACATAACTGGCACCTTGCGTAGTAATAAGTACATTACCACTTAAGCCCAAACGCGTATTAGTTGTCCAATATCATCTGCTGCCGTTACTCCAAAGAAATATCCAAGTTGAATCCGCGGTCAAATAAATCCGGGTTGTTGCACAGTTTCAACCGCTATTGCCGGCTGACTGACTGCCGGGCCGTAACGCCGGCGAGGCGGGTGTCATACCAGATTATAGACTGCACCGGACAAATTTTCGCCACGTGATGCTCGGCCGTCATGATTTCGCATCCTTGTAAGTCTGAGTGCGCATTCCGCTACCGTATATGTTTACTCTTGCGCGGATCGGGAATAAATGAATAGGCGGGGGCGCGGGGGCCCGCCCGGGGGCTCGGCCGGTTCTATACGAAGATCTGAGATTACAAGCAAATATAATATGTGGCGCAACTACGGCAATTAATAACACTAGGCAAACAATTTTTACCCAGGACAAAAACAATCGATGCTCCTCAAACATCCTGTAAGCAACATGTGAGGTCACCGAACCGAAATCAGATGCTTATTTTGTTGGGCAATAAATTGGTAAGGCGTGGTGTGCGCCAGATACCAAATTTACGGGATTTCAATTAACATTCTTGTGATTAATCAGCAGTGATATTGGACAAACTAATACGCCGTTTGGCCTATAAGCGTAATGTACTTATTAACTACACAAGGTGCCAGTTACCTGTAGCATTCGCTCAACTGTTGCATAATCGATGAATATATGCCTTTATTAGCCGTATATTAGCCATACAATAATGTAACCCAACAAGAGTTACGACTCTTTTTGTTAGTGTGTCACGAAACGCGAAGCAATCGTGAAGCGAACGCGAAGTCGAAGCGGACGAGGCGAATCTCTGATTTACGTATCTATATCGGGCTGCCACCACGTTCGCCATCACGCGCGGCAAACGCTGCCAAGACACAGGCGGTCGACGACATGCCGCTCTATAGGTGAAGGGGAGTATTCCCACGTTCATGCCCCGAAAAAGGGGCGGAAGGGAGGAGTATTCCCCACGTTCATGCATGAGCATAGAGTGACATGAGGAGGATCTCCCACGTCTTATGCCTGAACATAGGTCGAATGAGGGAGGATTCCCACGCTTTATGCCCTTGAACACTAGCGTGAATGAGCGGCAGGATTCCACGTTCATGCCGCTGAACATAGCTGTGAATGCAGGAAGGATTCCCACGTTATGCTGAACATATTCCGTGAAATGAGGGAGGATTCCCACGTTCATCCCCTGAACCATAGGTGAACGAGCGCGAGTATTCCCACGTCATGCCCTGAACAATAGGCTGAATGAGAGAGGATTCCACGCTCATCGCCTGCACACATAGCCGTGAATGAGGGAGGATTCCCACGTTCATGCCCTGACTATAGACGCTGACAGAGGGGAGTATTCCCACGTTCATGCCCCTAAACATAGGTGAAAGGAGAGTATTCCCACCGTTCATGCCTTGATTATAGGTGAACGACGGGAGGATTTCCAACGCTTCATGCCCTGCGAACATAGGCTGAATGAGCCGAAGGCATTATACACGTCTATTGCCCTAAACAAATAGCGTGAATAGGCGGGACGTGCTTCCCACGTTCATGCCCTGGAACATAGGTGAATGAGGGAGGATTCCCACGTTCATGCCCTGGAACATAGGTGAACGAGGGAGGATTCCCACGTTCATGCCCTGGAACATAGGTGAATGAGGGAGGATTCCAACGTTCATGCCCTGAACATAGGTGAATGAGGGAGTATTCCCACGTTCATGCCCTGAACATAGGTGAAGGGAGGAGTATTCCCACGTTCATGCCCTGAACATAGGTGAATGAGGGAGGATTCCCACGTTCATGCCCTGAACATAGGTGAATGAGGGAGGATTCCCACGTTCATGCCCTGAACATAGGTGAATGAGGGAGGATTCCCACGTTCATGCCCTGAACATAGGTGAATGAGGGACGATTCCCACGTTCATGCCCTGAACATAGGTGAATGAGGGAGGATTCCCACGTTCATGCCCCGGAACGTGCTCGGTGAGTGACAATGCGTCTGTTTTATGCACCAGCGGGTAAATTTACCGAAAACTTTCCACGTTTTTGTTTGCTGGAAAAAAAGCGCAGGGGTAATGTACCGCGAAAGTCGCCCGATATTCCATACGAAGGCCACTAACAGAGTTTACGTTTCGAACGGGTATTGTGAGGCGAGCGCCATCTAGACGATTCCTCGACTCATGAACATATAACTGCGCGTATACTCTCTCCATAGTACAGTGATTTAAATGTGCGTTCTTGCTTTATTAATAGAAATAGTGTTGCTGTCGGGCCGCCACCGAGACACGTCGATTGCTAGGCGACAACAGCGCCATTGGCAATCAAATATAGATGCGACGTGTGAAAGCGACGAACGCCGAGCAGGAGAGAGAAGAGACCGCACATGAATTATTAGGGCGTCTCCAACCGGGTAGACAGGGTAGCGAGGGGTGGGGGCGAGGTGGGCGGGGGTGGCGCTGTGATGTTAGATACTAGGCCCTATGCGTGCGTGTGTGTGTGTGTGTGTGTGCGCGCGCGCACGCGCGCGCGTGTGTGTGTGGGGGGGCGCGTGCGCGCCTGAGCGCAAGGTTAGGGTGATCATAAAGGTTCATGTTACGATTGGGGTTAGGGTTAGGGCTAGGGTTAGGATTGTGGATAAGATTTGGGTTAGTTTTAGGCTTAAGTTTAAGTTTAGAGAAAGGGCGATACAAAGCATTACAAACACGCCGTGTCACGGTATACAACGTGACAATACTAGAGACCGATTAGAGACCTTAACCACACTAAACGCCACGTCACATATATAACACTTGACACGATGATATCATGCCCGTGGCGTGGGACGACGAAGCATGAATGAACTAGACAGAAGGCACTCACGGAGAGTGCATACCTCCGCGAGCATGTAACATGTATGTGCTCGCTGGTGGCGGCTGCTGACTCGCCGCTCGCTGAGGATGGATGGACTGATGGATGGAGGATGATGGCGGATGGATGTATGGATGGATGGATGTGATGATGGATGGCTGGATGGATGGAGAATGGATGGATGGATGATGGATGATGATCGGATGGACTGGATGGATGGATGGATGGATGGATGGAGGATGGATGGAATGGATGGATGGGATGGATGATGGATCGTGCATGATGGATGGAATGATGATGGATGGATGATGGATGATGGGTGATGAGGAGTGGCTGGATGGATGATGGATGGGATGGGGATGGATGGACTTAGATGGATGGGAGGATGGAGGATGGATGGATGATGGATGGATGGCTGGATGGATGGATGGATGATGATGGAGGAGGATGGATTGATGAATGGATGGATGGATGGATGGATGGATGGATGGATGGATGGATTGATGGATGGATGGGATGGATGGATGGATGATGGTGGATGGATGGATGGATGGATGGATGGATGATGATGATGATGGATGGGTAGATGTGATGGATGGATTGATGATGGATGAATGGAAATGCATGGACTGATGATCGATGGATGGATGGAGATGGATTGATGTGATGGATGTGATGCGATGGATGAGATGATGGAATGGATTGGATGATGGGTGGATGATGATGGATGGATGGATGGATGGATGGATTGGATGGATGGAGGGGATGGATGGATGGATGGATGGATGGATGGATGATGGATGGATGGATGGATGGATGGATGGATGGATGGTGGATGGATGGATGGATGGATGGATGGGGCCTGGATGGGATGGATGGATGGATGGATGGATGGATGGATGGATGAAGGAGGATGATGGACGACGGACGGACGGGCGGACGGAGGGGCGGACGGACGATGACAGACGGACGGATGGACAGCGGACGGACGCACGCTCGAAGCACGGACGGACGGATAGATGGATGGATAGTTGAAGGCGTTTGCGCGTGCGTGTGCGTATACATACGGAATTCGGTCAAGTTTTATTTCATCCGAGTTTAGTAAGGAAGCGATGATAACCTGCTATGAAGAGAACAATGAAAGACGTTCAGCAGACGGTTCGTTAGATGAAAGCAGCGATTGTTCTCACGGCAAAACCAATGCTGAACTCACCCGAGCAATTACAAGTTCTTCTAAAGCCTATTTCTTATAGTTAAACTATAATAATCGAATAATGACCGCAATTTATCAGCCTAAGTGATGACACAAACCATCATCACAACACACACACACACATACACACACATAATCACACACACACACACACACTCTCGCGCCACACACACACCACACACACACACACACACACCCACCAGCACAACGGCTCCTCTGTTTGCCGCCCCCTCCCTCTCCGTCCACCTTACCCAGCATCCGAAGTCACCATCAACCACCATCAGCAGCAGCCTGCTCACCATAATCACGCTGATTATCAAACCGACTTAACATCTCACCCCACCTGCCCTCTCACGCTCATCAAAAACAACGTCACCACAAAACACGACCGCCCCCCCCCGATGTCGTCATTCGGGTCAGAGGTCAACCGTGTCACCGGGTAGCGGTAGCGTGTGGTATCTAATGTGACGTCGCACCCCTGGAGTCGTTACAGGACCTGTGCCAAGAGCGTGGGACTTCAACGCGTTCACACAGTTTAACGGTGGATGACACAGGTAAGAACTAGTCACACTATAATACTATATCGTATACCTACAT